TGACGAAGTTTTGAACCATACAATCGGTTTACCATTCTCCTAGATCACTTAATTTCACAATAAATTCTAATTTCTCCCAATTCCACAATTCCATTTGTGCTTGGCTGCTCTTCTTGTGACCTCCTTGAGCATGCTGTCATTCGGTTCAACGTGTTAGCCATCTCAATTCCTTTCTTCATATACAAATACCTACTGCATACCCAGTAACCAAAATTACAGGCGACCATGAGTGTAAGTCGAGATCGGTTGATAGGATACAGCACTTGATACATTTGCTTACATACTTTAGCGTGAACAAACCAAAGCGGCCCATTATATTCAGCTCCTGGACACGGCTCGTTGCGAAGGTAATTGGGATACTGTGCCAGAACTTGTTAGGAAGGTTAGGAAACATGCGCCTTCGCGGATATGTACGTTTACATGCTACTACTAGAATGGATATTCTATTCTTAGACTTTTTGCACTGATCTTCGACATTAACCGGTTTCAATAGGCCTCACGTTGACCGCAGAGACTGAATATGCAGTTACACAACATTGTCTTAAAACATTGACTTCTGCCGCGCGGCCATCGACAGCTGGTTCTACCTCCTCGGATCTGTCCAGGTATATACCGCCACTGTTAGAAGCTATATCAAACGAACGGCAGCATGTTGAAGATGACTTCCAGGCGCAAGTTTGTGTTGGCTGGATACATTGGCATAATGGGGAGCACGCCCTGGCAGCTTCGAGTTTGCCTGACAGCATAGAAGCGGAATTTTCTCAACTTGATGGAACCAACAAAGACTCGAACGAATGGACGAAAGTGTGTGCACTCAAGGCCTCGTTTATCAAAGGGGACTCGCAACGAAGGACTGGACATTTGGCAGAAGCATTGGAAACCTTTGATTCCGCTCTGCCAATACTGGCAAGCGTATCATCTACACCGACACCTGCCGGCCGAAACGAATTGAACACTTGGATTGAGGAATTGTTGGCAGGATCATGCATGCTTTCAAGCCATGCTATCAAAACAAAAGCCTCCCCAACACTCGAGACCGAAACATTATCAGCATTTCGTGCATGGGCGAGATTTTGGGAATGGGCGCCAACGAAGCCACTGGGTCGTGCACTGCATGCCGAAACTTCAAGGCGACAGGTATGGAAAGAATACTACATCACATTATCGGACATACTCCAACAACACCTACCATTTCCCACAACAGATCTTACCACCGCATATCCTGAGTCATCATCGAAACCACAACTAAGAGCGGAATTGAAACAAGTGGAAGCGCGCTACGAGGAGTTGCTTCTGAGTGAAGTACAGTTTCCGAAGGCGGATGAACCGAGCGACGAAGTCGAAGCTTTTGTTGAAATAGTGATGCAAAACTGGAGAGTTTTATGTGGGAACACATGGCAAGAACATGAACTTGGCGAAGGCGGGGCTGAGGCAATTAGTAAAAGTGTTTTGAACATTCTGTACAATGCCGCAACTAAAACGTTCCATTCAACGCCAATTTTGCGACATTTGTTCACTGTTCATGTGGCGGTCGCGGAGTTTGATTTAGCATTTAAAGCATTCGATACCTATTTGGAAATTGTGAAGAGAGGAAAAGCTCGAGTGGAGAAAACTGGGGAGTTGGAACATGGTCTAGATGACGACGAAACAGTTTTGAACACGGCTGCCGAGTGCATCAGGGCTTTATGTCGATACGGCTCAAGACAAGGGGCAGAGAAGGTTAAAGACCTTGGCCACTTTTTCGAGGAGTGGTTAACTAAACACCATCCCGTCGAACAGCCACATGGAACTGAGAAACTGCTCGACAATGGCACCTCGCTTGTTTCGAGCACTCCCATATCACCAAATACATTTGCCATTGCTTGGCGGTCAATCGGAATCGGCTATGCACAATGGGCACGCTTAACTTTCGATTCGACATCGCGAGGGGCCATTCAAATAAAGGCTATAAAATGCTTTCGTCGTGCTCTTCTCCCCGAGTATAAGAGCACTGCAGATGTAGATACCCTTTTTGCATTGGGCACAATCCTTGCAGAACGCAGAGAGTTATCGACAGCGATTGAGGTCGTGAAAGTTGGGCTTGCTCCTCTGCGCTCCAGTTTGCAAAATGCTCATGGCTCTTCCGTCGCAGCCAGATTCTCAAGAGAAAGATCTCTGATACCATTATGGCATCTTATGGCTTTACTGCTGAGTGCAAGACAAGATTTTATGACAGCAGTAAGATCTTGTGAAGGTGTCTTTGACCAATTTGGGGATTCAAAAAATCTATATGGAGCATCTGAACTTGATGGCTCATTCAGAAGCGAGCACCTGAATTCCAACGAAAACATTATGCAGCAGAATCGAGGCTTGGTAGATGAAATGGATGATTTCGAAAAAGCAAATCTTCTAGAGGTAAAGATGACTCAATTGTCTCTTATAGAAGTTCTTGAGGGCTCCGAGGTTGCAGTCAACTGTAGTGATGAGCTTTTGACTCTATATACGAGACTGTTCGGTGATCCTTCTAAAGAAACTGCCACTGCAGTAGTTCAAAATGCTACGTTGGTACCTCCCAAAAGTTCCGCAGGAACCCTTAGAGGTATGAAAGGAAGTATATTTGGACGAACTCTGAATAGGTCAATGCGAAGGGATATGGTAGCTTCGATGGAACAGAGCACAATCTCTCAACGACCAGACACCACACATGCCACGATCAATAGAGCACCAACTATTCAAGTTACTCATGAAAACGGTACAGCTGGAAGACATCACCGCAGACGCTCTGGAGATCATCATGAAAAGCTGCACAAAAAGTCAAGTGTCAGAAATCCTTCTCAAGAACCAAACAGAAGCGCGAGTGTAGGAATGACCGATGGCGCTCTGAGGGAGATGGATCTACAGAATCGAGAGGATCATTCAGAACAAAGCTCAAAACCACTACCTCCAACCTCACAGCAAATGGAACACAAGGAGCCGGTTCTCAAGCCAGTAGGCTCCAATCACACTGTTCAAGATAGTCGCCTTCCAATCACTCCACACTCGTTAGCGCCCAGCCCCACAACTCGATTCTCGAAAGATTCCGAGAGGCGGCGGAGAATATCAACATTAGTCAAAGTATGGTTGTTAATCGCCGGCTTTTATCGACGAGCAACCATGTATGAAGATGCTAAAGGTGCAATCGAAGAGGCGCATAAGCTGGTGCACGGCTTAGAGATAGATATTATGAATGACCCAACAGGCCTCGCATCATTTGATAATTCTAGTTGGGGTGGTGGAAAGAGTGTTGCTGAATTATGGGGGGATGTTTTCTCAGAGGTATGTATGCTCGAGGAAGGCATAGAATCTTACTAACATTTTTTAAAGCGTGGCTATCTCTCTGTAGATCAATCTTCTCCATACACGGCACTTGAAAATTTCGAGACTGCTTTAACTCACTTTGCTGACCACCCTGCCGCAATCGTTGGGCTTTCCGATATATTACTAGATGTATACACAGAAGATCTTCTACCTCTTCCCACCATGCCAGCTTTAGTTCTTCCCACGTTATCCGCCAGTACTCCTTCGGCCTCCACCCTTAATACTTCAGCGCAATCCCAATCACATCAGCCAGCGCTTCCCTTGCCCACGAGCGGACCCCTTGGCCTTCCTCTTCCTGTTCCTCCTCACCGAGACATTCTCGCTGCATCGAAAACGAACCAAGCCGATAAACTCGATAGACTTGCGGCTCGGGATCGTGCATATGGACTTTTATCCGGTCTAACTAAATTAGGTTCAGGTTGGAACTATTCAGAAGCCTGGTATTCATTAGCCAGAGCATATGAATTAGGAGGACAGAAGGATAAAGCGAGAGAGGTACTTTGGTGGTGTGTAGAGCTGGAGGAAGGTAGAGGATTGAGAAGTTGGGAAGTGGCTAGCAGTGGTGGTTATGTTCTTTAATTAATTATTAGATGGGTAGGAGATGTGAGTAGTGCGATTTTTAGACTTCGGACGATAGGGGGTTTGGTTATACATATCGGACAGAAGCCTTGGTGGGATATATAAATAATGCAGACTTAAATTAACATTACTGAAATATTGACCCGACGTTTGATTGGACTTGCGATAAAAGTGTTGAATTGTATGGATAGATATATCGACACTAATTTCTACATAACCTATTCTCTTTTATTTACAAGAGTAATCTGAAGATATATCCCACTTTCCGTTGTATCTTTCATTGATTTCAGATCTAGCCGCTCGTCTGATGATTTTGATTGTGAAAAGCGGGTAAAGTTTGTGTGGCACTCAATGTTGTTGGACTTAAATCGGCTATTAGCCCGCCCGCTGTTCCTCAACCACATCGCGCAGGCCAGGGGCAGAAACTGGCGCCTGTGATGTTGGATGTGTCGTGCCAGGTCCGGTGGGGATCATGGTTACAATTATTGTAGGAAAACTCTCATGGAAAGACAACTATTGTCAATCGTTAATTGTTGGGGATGTGAATTCGAACTGAAGATTAGAAGCGAAGTAAGTTAGGATGTCTCATAAGTTATGGATGAAGCAAAATATAATATCGAGCCAAGTTAGCACGCACGACTAAAAAGCAGTATGAAATATAAGGAACGTGGTATGTACGTTTGTTTGTGTGTGTGAAATCAATTGGATATCTATAATATTCTATCTACCTAGGAATCTTTGCCATCGAACAAACATGTTTGTTGATTTGTATCCGCTTGCTAACACATTTCCAACACTGTTTTTGGAACCGCCAGGGTACGTTCTGATTTCTAATTTCTAATTTTTCATTTCAAGGAACGCCAAACACCTCTATAATCCATAAGCAAAAATCGCTGCATTGTTCGGGATCGCAAAAACTTGAGTTATGAGTGAGTGAGAGCGAATCAAATCAAATCAAATCAAATCAAATCACCGCCTGGGTGATGAACTTGATTGTTGACTCGTTTTCGGTTGGAACATTTCTTCTAGGTACCTGACTCTTGGGGATATTCGCCGGAACGGGCTGTGTATGGGTTTGGAGAGCCCTACTTTTTTGAGCCAGACTTCTTTGCAAAATCCAAACGGCTTCCCTCGTTTACCTTAAGTAACCACATATTGGGGTATTTGTTTTTTAATTCGCTGGGGTCGTCGGATTTTGTAATTTGGATTTTGGGGGGTGTCTGGTTGCTGTCTCTGGGAGGGCTGGCAGAAGTGCCAGGTTTGGTACTGGGAGTCTTCTGGGTGCTGCCTTTGGGAGGGCTGGTAGAGCTGTGAGATTTGGTACTGGGAGTCTTCTGGGTGCTGCCTCTGGAAGAGCTGGTAGAGCTGGCAGCGCTGGTAGCGCTGTGAGAACTGCTGCTGGTCTTCTTTTCAGGCATTGTTGGAGATTTGGTTGTGTGGGATTGAGATTGAATGGGCTGGGATGGGATGCGTTGAGATGATATGGAATGTATTAAACTGTGGTGATGATAGAGATCTGTGAAAAAGTTGTTGTTGTTGTTGATGATGATGATGAGAGATACATTAAGACTCGAGAATCTGTACATTATATACACTTCTCGAGTCCCAACCCATCCACCTCACCAACAACATCAATACTGACCTCCCCTCCATCGCGATCCACTCAATCAAGGCCAAAAAAAACTGCAGCTATTTTTATCTAACTTTTATTGAATTCGGAGGATCTGGGCTTTGCCATCGGTCTGACTACCGCCTACGAGGACGACGGAAGCCTCATGGTATATAGAAACCTTTTGGTTGACCCGCGACCGGACCATCGGTAATAGATTGCTTCATTGGTTTGGTTGGCGGTCACTTTCTACGATTCTTGGTAGGACCTACTTTCTGTATTGTGCATCTCAAGTTCTGGCTTACAATTAAGTGATTGTTGCCTGGGTGTGGATGGCGAGCTTGAGGACTAGTTTGCATTCGGTATTCACGATACCTTTAGTTTTTAATGCGATAGATCTTGTGCTTTGAGAGAGTTTAGGCTGCTTACTATTTTCTGTTCGATATACATAGGAACATTCGATGGCTTGACAAGTCATTTACTATGAATTAGGATGAGAATAGGGTGGTAGTCCTTCTTTTCCGAGTCTGTTAGCTATTCGGTGTCTGAAAGAACCTCCTGATAATTATCCGAGTGAAAATGAGTGTGTAGAGTGAATTCAAGCACCAACTATAATAGAAACTTTTCGTCATGACCCCCCCCTTCCCCTCTTTGCATCTCCCATTGCCAATCTAATACTTATTTCCAACTTGATTCTTCAGACGTCTAACAAACTTCAACCTGAATCAAAATAAAAAGTGCCCCCATCCAACTACAGTGTACCTTGAACTACACTCCATCCGATATCTACAACCTAAAACTCCTCCTCCATCCTATCTTATTCACAAGCCTACAAACCCAAACTATACCCCCAACCAATCAGACCCATAACCTATCTGCCTACCCATCGAACTTTCCGAATTTTTCAGAAGCCGACCAACTGTACTGAAAGGGCCGAGATCTAGATCTTGGCACAGCAAGTAGGTAGGTATAAATATAGAACCAAGCTTTCCAAGCGAGAGTCGTGCGAGAAGGGTCGGCGGCCAACTCAATGACCAGACCCAGGTCGAGAAAATTGCAAAGTGTGGCGTTGGGTTGTGTTGGGTGGGTAGGTAGGTAGGTAGGTAGGTAGGTAGTGGTGTGGGTCTTGGAAATTGTTTGGAGGTTGTGGATGGGTGGAGAATGAAGAGGAGTTGGGTAGGTATATAAAGGAGGCACTTGGCTTCCTTGATTCACTATTCTATTCTATTCTTGTATTACCTCTTGTTTTGAATTCACACTTCTTCGTGTAATTCACTAGTCTTTCATTTATACCCCTCATTCGGTATTCACCAGCCTTAAATTTTAACCCCTCTTCTGGATTCACTATTACCCTCGTTTTATATTCACTATTTCGTACGTATATACCCTACCTACTTCATTGCCTCTCGGTTATGGTTATAGCTACACTCTCAACTCTGGATACTTCAATTTGACAGGATCACAGCTAAGATTGAGGAATAAGACGTTGTGAGTATATCATTGACCGCAATAATGTCTATCCCCATGTAAAATCTACAATCATACGCTTCGCCCCATAACAACCCCATCTACCTCCCTATCGTCCATATTCGAACGCAAAGCAATCCGATCAAAACATCCATCTTGGCTGAACACCTCACTCTCAACATAATTTCCTGAACCCAACACCCTCATATCTGACTAAACTTTCGTTTCCGTTATTTCCCTGTCTATCTATAAGAAGTTTGTTAACGCCATGCAGGTAATGACTGGAGCAAGTACCTGGTCGCTTTCGAAAAGAATCATCATTCCCCTGATGCAATCTTTGAAAGCAGCCAGCAAGCCAAAGCAGCCAATACCACAACCAATTCTAAAACATAAAATGCAGTTGAGTGGTGCCAGAATATATCTTCACTCGGGTTCAGATGTCAAATCCGTGTCAATCTAAGTCGCTAACAATGATTTCTTCAGAATGCTCGATATCGTGGAGACGAAATGGGTTTATATTGAGCTGGTAAATTTGCTGACAAAGTTCATTTCCCAGTATGATGAAGACGCCGAGGAATATGGTGGTGACTAGGTCGAGCATAGTAGGCTTTACGCCGTCGTTATTGATGAGTTCCTTTCGACAATTGCTTGAGACTGAAGCCAAGAGCTCTGAATATCTCTTCGACCTTATACCCGGAAGAAAAGACCATTATTCGCTGGCATAGCTGAAACCGATAACTGTCCGCGCATCACTTCCTTCCGGCTGCAACAGATTTCGTATGTTTGCATTTGGATAATGAGTGCACGTTACATGGTGGTAGCACGGGTGCATGACGGGATCTGTGTATCATGACACGTATTTTCGTGTGAGGTTGAACAGAGTTTGTGCCGTTGATATCCACTCCAGCAACAAACATCCACAACAAGAGAACTAATCAAGAGAGAGACTCATAAGCACGCTGTGGTGCAAATATAGGATTCAGAATCTTTGTCATAGCTTCCGCGGTTGTGAACAAAACACCACCACTAAACACAGTCCGTGATAATCTCATGACTGTTCCTCTCCAAAAGGCTTTCACGCCACCATCTTTGATGATACCCATAACAGCTTGAGTGGTTGTAGTCACTTTCGAAGATTGACTCCTCGTTTTCACGGTATCAAACGGTTGTGTTGCCAAAGTAGTGATTACACCTGCCGCTGCCCCATTCGCAAAGTTCACGACAGTATTCTGTGGAATATCTCGTACGACCTGGAAATCCTTGATAATGTTGTACGAACCCATTCTAAACGAAGTTGCAGAAGCTTGTTTGAGAGTCGTACCAATGAACCCTCTGTACAAACCTACAAATCCATCTTCTTTGAGAATGGTACGTATGCAATGCATTGTGTAATTATATTGCCTCGTGGTCCTGGCATCGTCGATGAGCGCCGTTTTAATCCGTTCAGTAGGTGTAACTGCAAATATACTGGCTGCAACTCCCGCTGCCATGCCTGCTAACATATTACGACCCGGAGATAGAACACCAGTTTCCGGATCTCGAAAAACGTTTTTGATGCTGTCATACGAAGTAAATCGTACGGCATCTTTTGCAATAGATCCAAATACTAATGCACCACATCCCTTATACAAAGCTCTTATACTTTCTTGTTTGTATACTTGTAGAACTACCTGAAATGGATTCCGTGGTAATTTAGATGGACCAGAATGCAATTGTACTCGTGTTTTGGCAAACTCGATTGGGTATGTAAGAGCGCCTTCTACTCCTCCAGCAATTCCACCAGATAGTAAAGATACGATCGGTGGTGTCGATGCGTTTCCGTGACCACTCATCTTAAAAGTTCGTATTAATTACTAATGTAGCGAGCAAGAAATCAACATGAAAGTGGTATCCCAAACAACTGTGCAACCAAAGATTGTTCTTTTATAGTTGATAATTTAGTTTCCCTCCATTGTACCAAGGTACTGTTTCCAGAACTTCAATCTATGACGTCTTAGCTTCTCGGTACTTATTTATCAACCTCACCGGTAGATCGGCAGTCGGTACTGCACAGCGTTCGCCTAAACTTACCGAAGCCGATAATATTGTAAATGTAATTATTGTTGTAGATTCTTCATTTCTATAAATCTTTGGTGGAAGAAAAATACCAATACAGTGTCTCGATCTGTTAACATATTTGCCCACTCTTGATCATCCTGACGTTAACGCAAAGCCGCCAACAGCATATACATAGTACTTTAATTAATTAAGGGCAAATAGTCTAGCTAACTACCGGGGTTTGTTTGTAGAGGAAAGCATGAAAAGTGCTCATAGTAGCCAATCCCTGTTTTCCCTTCTTTCACTTCCGAGCTGCGTCTGCCATGCGTTCAGACTGAACGCCTCGAAACTCCTCCGAGCTACCTAATACCCACTCAAGAGTAAGCAACTTTCAAGCTTCCATAAATCTCTCTTTTCTGACAACATTGATCTCATCCTTGAGAGCCTTGGCCGAACAAAACTTCGATACACGCTGTGAGGCAGTATCGTGAATTTCTTGATTGACCGAATTTGTTTCTTTTCTGACTCTTACATCATTCGAGGCGGTTGGATGAGCGTCACCAGCTCTTTTAGAGGATGAAAGATGACTTTGCGAATCTTTTATCACTTTCTGGCTTGCTCTCAATCTACTCAACTTATCTTTGGAAGATGACCTCTCATGACTGGGCTTATTACTGTTTCTCGTTTGTCTCTTCGTTGAAGCTGTGGAGCTTCCGAACAAATCAATCCCAGTGACCGATTTTACTGGAATGTGATTCTTGCTTCTGCGACTATCTCTAGGTTCATTCTGTTGTGACTCTGAATCCACGAAGGTTCCTCCCGACTCTTTAAGGTCATCAAGTATACGTCTGCGTTTCGCCATATGTGGAGATCTTGATTGTAGATGACGGTCAAGATTGAAGTAGGGCGACAAAGAAGCATCAGGTAAGCGTTTTCGACGACCTGAGCTTGTAGCCTCTGTTGTAGGTAAGGTATATCTAGGTAGATATTCAAGGATATCATCGTCATCTCGTGGTTTCCAGAACCTTGTTACTCGCTGATATGCCTGCTCTATCGCGTCGGAAACGGGAGGTTTCTTGTACCATGGATGATTTATCGTTTGAACAGCAGTCATACGCTGACTTGCATCACTAGCCAAAAGACCGCGCAGGAATGATCGAGCTCTCCGATGAAGATGAGACCACTTGCTTGCTACCTCTTTTTCATCGGACGAAAGAAAGTTCTTGGCAGCTTGAATTTCTTCCAGCTGGGACGATCGGCCTCGGGAAATCCAAATCTCGCCAGTGAGCAGATTCCATGTCAATATTCCGAACGACCACATATCTGCAGCTGTCGTATATCCATGAATTATATTAGAACCCATGATTTCGCTATCAACAATCAGTACAATTGTTTGTTAACTGTCATTTTTAGAGATATACTCACGGTGCAACATAACCATCTGTCCCTACCGAAGAGAAGAGTCTGCCAGTAGTTTTGTCCGTATAATTGGCAAGACCAAAGTCTGTGAGGATGACTCGAGAGCCGATATCAGTATTTGTAATGAGAATGTTTTCCATTTTAATATCTCTATGTGCGATTCCTTTCGAGTGAAGATATTCCAGAGCCAGAGCTATCTGTCGCGTAATGAGACGAGCATGGGCGTCTTCAAGCCTATTACCACAAGAATCGAAGTATGTATATAGGTCTCCTGCCGCAGCAAGCTCTGTAAACATATACAGCCTGTCATTGGAAAGGAAGGCCCTCTCGATGCGGATAATATTTGGCTATGAGTTATTAGTCTCGGCCATCTGAATACATAGACCAATGAATGATTAAGCCTGTCACAACTTACATGATTAAGTTTAGACAGTATTTCAACTTCTCGTAGGTGTGACTTCCTCGCCAAATCGGTATCATATTGCTGACCTGATTCTGTAGAGCCATGGGAGCTGGGGTTCGCACGTCTTGGGGGGCGTACTTCGATCACTTTACATGCTAACTGCTTCGAGCTGCCAACATTATTGGCAAGAAAGACTTTTCCAGCAATACCACTACCAAGAACATGGCTGGAAATGGTATATCGATCTTTAAAATACTACACATATATAAGTCAACATGAAAGATATACCAAAAGAAAATGGTGACATGAATACCTTGATTTCGATATCAGGCAAAGGCTCATGCGATGTTTTTCTTGATCTTGGTTGGTGAAATCGAAACTTCCAATCGGGACGGATCTCAATCAAATCACCGTCAACAAGAAGACGTCCAATTCTTTCATTGCCGACGATACCAATCAATACATTGTTCACATAGGTACCATTCCTGGACTCAAGGTCTTCGCAATAGATTGCAGGTGGGTATTCATCCAGCTCCTCCGTATCATATATGATGGTGTAAATACGAAAGTGTTGCTTGGAAACAAGCACACTATCAATGGAAAAATCACTACACTCTTAGCAGGTTACAGATCAATTAAACAAAGTACATACCATATCGTCTCTCTTCCCACGTGAAGATAGCCTTTGGCAAGAATCGGAATTGCTGCAAAATCTATATTAGATCACGAAAGGTTGATGAGATAAGAGGCTTACGAACTGATTTTTTGACCGGTCTGTGCATGCTCATACTCGAGCGATGCGACAATGCTGTTACCGATATCATGGCTATTCCCTTCATGAGTTCCCATTCGTGATTTGTCAACGTTCTCACGGCGGTTCTGACCACTGAGCTCACAATTCGACTCTGGTGCTTCCATTGTGATTTTGAGATCTCGGATGGTGGTATTTGAGACAAATTGTGGAAAACCTGAGAACATGAGAATGTGAAAAACAGAGAACGAGAGAAAATGAAGTGGTAATGTATATTTCGAAAAGATATGAAGTTGGATGATGTCGGTCAAGTCAAATAAGCATAGAGAATACTCAAACAATGCGCAAACAATGCGCATTTCCCATCACCTTAGGAGATAGCAGATATCAAAAGATTCGTAGGAAACAAGAAAGAAGGCTTCGAACGTGAATTGCTCACTTGGATACTCATGACCAAATGACCGTAAGTAAATAGTAGTACAGGCGGAAGGAAGTATTAAGAGATGAGATTGTGACTTATCAGTTGAGTAATGCTTCATCATAGAACGTCTTGATTATGTAACTTGAAGCTTCTCTCGATGTATCGCATCACCTTGCTTCTTTTTCACTTCTCTCGTCTTCCTTGGGAAGGAACGAAGGGAGGCAGCCACAAGCAATTCCTAGTTTCACTATCACGTGACAAACTGACCTCCTTCGTCAACGAACTCCCTTTTGTGCGTGGGAGACTGCGAGTCCTCGTACAATTTCAGCCGGTATACATTTTGGGGGGTCTGGTTGAAGTTTGAATGAAAATTGGGCATGACAAAAACATGTTTATTAAGTTTGTTTTCCATTACCACTGGTACCAACCTTATGACAAGTTACAACCAGGCCTTACTGACGTTTCTCTCCCATGACAAAATGCCTGGTGTTGTCAAAGTCAATGAGACTTCCGTAGGTCTAAATATGTGTTACCCATTGGGAAGTGTGATTTTGCCATTCCCGAATAAGCCCCTTGCAAAATTGAGACGCATCGCAGGTCGAGCGCCATACTTTCTGAGCATTTATATACTCGGGCTTCTCCGGCGGGATATTAGACCTATCGTCATATACCAATGTCCTCGACATCTTACATATGAGATTCTGAATGTTCATAACATCTTGTTATGACTAAACATCATACAAGCCCGCATTGGAACATCGTTTGCGAACAACGATCCCCACATGAAGATGCAACATTTTGCGTATGGGTGGTAGACTCACCACAGAATCAAATGTATCATACAAAGGGAGATAATGCTCATGAAATTTTGATCATATGATAATACACGAGAGAGACTGAAAGAGTTGGTTTGCGACATGCGGAAAATGATCCTTTGAATATTTGTATCGATGCCAGATATTGGTATTATGTATTGAAAGTATTCTAAATCTTTGTATTGGTATTAGAGATTGAGGGACTTTGAATATTTTATAATAATATCAGAAATTAAGAGACTTTAATGTTTATATTGATATCAAACATTGATTATCGTTGGGATGAATATGAACCTTTGAATGGAATACCTCAAGCTCTACGGAGCGTCATATCTGAAAAGCATAGGAACATATTATACCGAGTACCTACCAAGTACTTTTCCTCAGGTCGGGCCCGACCAGGTAAAGGATTCGGATATCTTGAGAACAGGTGAGCGGTCATGTGACTAGCCCTAATCAGTCAAAATACGCTAAATTAGCTCGAAAATTAAGCGAGTATCAACACCCATATCTGGAGCTTCAATCAACTGAATTAACTTCTCTTCTTCACCATCTTCATACAACTCATATTGAAAATGTAAGTTGAAATTCATCCATTTTACCTTCAATGCCATTCACAGCACATTCTATGCTTATTTAAAGCATATGAATCATTGCAATCATCAAGTTTCCCCTCATTTCTTCAAGAATAGACTTTTACCCTTCTTGTCGCCAGTTCCATCACTTCCACATCAACAACTTCAAGTATCTATAACTGACAATCATCTTCAGGAGAGCAAAGTGGCGCAAGAAGCGTACTAGACGCTTAAAGCGTAAGCGCCGCAAGACTCGTGCCCGATCGTAAGTTTTCACCTTCCTCTCGCTTCAAATCGAAGATTTGCTCTTCAGCGGTCTTTGTCGTGGGGACAATTTTCTTTGAGCATTTACTGACCCCTCTATAGCAAGTAAACAACTCATAACAACTCGATCTCGATACGCCTTACCTCTCAAATCATAACACCATGACAACATAACCTCTTTTCGAATGTGCCATATCTCGCACCAAACGTCTTCACCTTTTTCAGCATTTCAGTATTCACCAACAAGTTCGGAGTTCGCGCTTCGTTCAACGGCGGCTGAGTGTTCAAGGAAAGATTGGTTTGATGACGCGCACTTGTCAGCATGTGGTGGGAAGTTTTGGAAGGAAGCTGGATCGGTCAACAATGCAATGTCGATTTGTTCATTGAGGGTTTATGAACCAATACGTCATGGGAAAGAAGCTGCCTCTGATGCTAAATGCCTTTTTGACTACCAACCCGATAGGAATGAATAAGAAAAAAAGAAGTTCTTCTTCACTGATGTCATCTTTGCACAATGTGAAATGTCTTGTAAGTGATCGTGATAGATAATGATGCTACTCTTCTCGAAATGGTCGCTGTCGTGTTTTAAAGCCGTTGTAATGTGAATCAAGCTTCCCCGCACATAATATCAAACCCTTCCCCAGATACGCACAAACGAGATAGAGTGCCATTTATGACCAAACCTATCTTCGCTCTCGATTCTATGGAATGTCAAATGCCTGTTGGACTTCCCAAATTATCTTGAATCTATCTACTTTCAGCTACCTACCTAGTATCTCGATGGCAGCATACCTACACACTAGGTAGTCAATAGATGAATTGAACCTGACCAGAATCATTGCGCACCTCATAAATTGGATAAGCTTGAAAGCTGCATATTACCGGCTCAACACAACCCCGCTCATTGGTCAAGCCACTAGCATCTCAGCCTCGTCTGTTTTAGTAAAATGTCGGGAAAAAAGTTTCCAATTGCCGACCCATCCAAAAATTTATTTGCTTTGCGACAGAACAGAAGCTTGTAAACCCCGGCGCCTTCATACAATTTGCCTAGGCTTCACATTAATCACACAATGGCGGACAATATTGAGAAAAGTAAGAAGCGTAAGAAGAACGCCGATGGTTCTTCGAGACCCAGCAAAAAAGTGGCAATCGAAGAAGACAGAAATGTTCAGATTTCCTTAATGGATGGTGATGAATGGGCTCCTATAATTGGTATGTTTCTAAGTTAAGACCAGGAGAATATCAAAGTCTCAAAACGAGTTCCAAGGTTATGAAATGTTGACACTTTATAGCATCCACTCCTGGACTTGCTATGCCGGCATCTATATCTCTTCAACCATTAACAAAGCATCGCAAGAATGCCCCTCAACGACCAGGACGAAGCGGAGCGATTGCTACAACAGAAGTCCTCCTTCATTCCTCAGAACATCCGAAACTTGACTACACTGCGCGGGAGGAAGAAGCGGGTGGTTCTGATACATTATTGAAGCATTATGTCGGTGTGTACGATCCAAAGACTGGAAAATTAGAGGTTATGGAAGCGCGAAAGATGGTGGTTCGTGGGAGCGTTAGAGCGCACCAAGCTACGGAGGCTGAATTTGCCAAACATGTAGGTCTATTGCAAGGGAATCTCAGAGCCGATGCTAACACTACTCGCAGACTATCCGAGAGCTTCGCAATGACCTTGGAGAGACTTTCGGTACTAAGAAAGCGAAGAAAGCCATTGCTTCCGTTACCGAGAATGCCATCTCAGCGAACAGAGGCTCAAGATTACTCGCGGACGGTGCCAAGCCAGCGAAGTTGGATGCTACAAAATCTGCCATCATTGCATCCATGGCAGAAGCTACATCTGGCATGGCATCTAGAAAAGACCTGGAGGAACAAGCAGACGCAGCCAAACCACGACCAAAAGCAGACCTTACCGCGAAAGATATCAAGGATGTGTATACGGTGGACAGCCTCATTGGAAGTGATATTTTCAAGTCTGTACCGGTCTTGGAATGGGAACAATCAGTCAAAGCAAAGAAGAACATTACGACCAACTCGAGATATGTGTCGGCCAGAATCGTCTCTGCAGCTACTGCAGGTGTTAATAAGCTCAGAGTCTTACGATACCTCCTTCTTTTGTTAGATTTACACATGGCTTCACGACCAATGCGAGGTGGAAGAATGCTGCCTAAGCGCGAGGAAATGAAAACAAAGTTGGGTGACAATATACCGCAATGCGTCATTGAAGATGTGCGACGCAAATACTCAGATGCTGGAGTCATGTCAAAATTCAAGTCTGATCTACTCATCACCCACGCATGTGCATTAGCATGTCTGGTTGATAATTATGAAGTTGATTTGTATGATCTTCAGCTGGATTTGAAATTAGAGACAAAGGAGATGACTCAATATTTCAAGGAGATTGGTGCGAGAGTTGTGGGACTTCCGGAGGCGAGGAGGAAGGCATTAGATTTAGACAAGGCGACTGCCGCACAAAGGAGGACAGCGAAGTTGAAGTTGCCATTAGATTTCCCAAGAGTGCCATTTGGAAGGAGAGGATAAAAATGAGTTGGGAGTAGGCTAGGCTGGTGACTATTATTGGCGAAGCGGAGTAGTTAGGATCTTGGTTTTAATACTGAAATTGAAGATGACGAATTCTATGGCAATTGATAGTAAAGATACTGGTTCGTTTTTATCCCTCAACTTTGATTGAAACAATAACTTGGATCAGGGCATTTTGATTCTTTGAACACTCTAGACATTCCGGAACAATACAACGACTAGAATGACCTTGATTGTATAAGATGTCAAGATGATTCGTAACATTCACAGTCTATGATGGTCTACAACACTTTGAAATAATACATTCACGGAAGGGAGAAACACCTGTCAACGTATCAAGCCGAAAGTATTCATCTTCCTTCCGATAGTGAAAGTGCTATTGTGGATTGTCAGAGACTTCCCAACACAGCCTGGACTTCTCATTCTCCTCCAACATCCAACCTCGATGGACGATACTGGCTGCTCGGTCCTAAAGATGGCAAGTGCAAGGTAGGCACACGAGTTACTCTTGCTTCGTAGTCGCAACTGCCATCTTAAGTTGTTTACTGTTTACTATTTCTTGTGAAAATCTTCAACATGATTTTCTTCTTCTTCTTTTTCTTCGTACATTATTAACCAAATTTGGGGAAATTCTTGGTCCAGCGATTTATTTTTATTTTTATTATGAAGAAGTTTTGGGCTGCGGTAAGGAGAGGAGGAGAGGATTGGTAGTTGCGGCGCTTACTGCTGGTTGGGTCTACGACTGTAGTCACTCTTTCACAGACCAGCTCTTCAGCAGACGATTTGCGGATGACGTTTACGACTCCGTCTCTGCATCTGTGAAGGGTGTCTGGCAGTCGGCCCAAGCCACCACCTGGACTCGGGGTGAAGCTGTGACGACGGCGGAGAGAGCCCGAGCAGAAGTGGAAATTTCGACCCTGGGCTCCTGAGTGTGTAGCAAGCCACGGTAAGGTGATCTTACTGACTGCATCCCTCTCCTCAGCGAAAAAAAAATCCAATTCCTAAATCAAGTTCAGTCAGCATTTCGCTCTCGATCTCTCACACACACATTTTCGAAAAATCCAATTCCTATATCAAGTTAAGTCGGCATCCCACTCTCTCTTTCGACTTCTTTCTCGATCAAAGTCTCAACTTTCATATTGAATTTGTCCTTGGCGTGCCACCAGCACCAGTGCCAATTGCTCCGACTCCCTCCCTGTTCACGCTGCTTCTGCTGTTTCGCCACCAGCACCAGCACTACCTCACTTTCCTACCCTGGACAAGTGTATGAAAGATTTAAGCGGATAGACTACGCACTCAATTAACGTTCTTGTAGTAGGCATAGCGAGTTGCATATCGGAATTTTAGTATTTGTGGCCAGAAGAAACTTCCGAGTGCGCGGGGTATAGCACTAATGATTCGTTGACTACCGAGCCTTCTAAGGTTATGTTGTATAATTATATGGTTGTATGGTAAGATTGTATAGTTATATGATGGTATGAGAGTGATTGTATAAAGTGATTAGGGACAATTATAGGGTCTTGAAGGGAGGGGGGTGAAGAGGGGGGAAGGGCAGGGGTCACAAGGGATCGGATCGTCATACTTCAGAAGGAGCTAGGTTTAGCCTTATACATAAATCCTACGTCAAATACAAGTTCTTCTACAAAAACCTTATTAATATAATGATTTTCTCGCAGGCTCTAGAACATTGAAAAGTGTGACACTTTGCCTTAGATGAACTGCGAGAGCAGGGTACAAAATGACCTTAGAAATTCTTTCAGACTTCCTTCTCATATCTTTCTTTATACAACTTTGGTTTTCCTGTCATTGAAACCTATTATTGAAACCTATTATCAAATCTCTCAATTCGCTTCGGACAATCAAATCTCCCAATTGGCTTCAGACAATCAGACCTTTCTATTCGCTTCAGACAATTAAATAATTAATAATTATGCCGGCACGTGTAGCACTAAAGAGAATAATTCCCTTTGCAGAGTTGGTGGCAACCAGTGCGGCAACCGGAACGCTAATCGTGCCTTCGAACATACCCCGACGAAACGTTCTTCGATAGAAGTCATTGAATCAGCCATTGAAAAGGCAACCTTTGTCACGCTTTATCTGAATTTTAAACCAAGCTGGCAGATGTTGTGTGCTGCAAGTGTCTACAGCATCTACAGCAGTTTTTGCAAACAAATTTGCACCAGAATCTTCGATGATTGCAAAAGAGAATAGGACAGGATCAAAGTGGTAGATGAGGCTGCTTCAAACTTAGGTATGTTTCACATCATTGATGAGAACACACATATATTATCAGTTACTGGCCGACACTCTTAGAAGCTCGAGAGAAAAAATCACTTGACAATGAAGATAGCTTTGTTGAGGACACTACATCGTCGTGCGATACGTTGGAACCGTTTTTCGACTAGAATGGGTACCGGCGTAACGGATGGGAGGGGTTTTGGAGTTGTCATTGACTTGTAGTAGTGTTTGGATGCTGGGTTATATCGATACCTGATAATGACTGTACACTAGTATCAGGCACAGCAAGATGAGATCTCCGTTGGAGAAGGGTGCAGTTGAGGAGTAAGATTATTCCTCTCTATTCCCTAAGGCGTGGAATAATCTAAAATACTCGTGTTTAAGCATTACGGGATTTCTTAATTACACACCGAGTGCAAGGTTTCGAGAATCATCCATGGTCTCGACTAATAAGAATAATGATGTTCAGTGAGGTTCAAGATAGGGGTGATCATGTTCACGTGATGTCTTATTCTATATTTGGTTGGCAAGGTTATCCCCTTCTATACGAACTCGAAAAAGAAATAAAATTACAAATGTATTCGATCATCTCTATATCTCGTATTTCCTCTCCTTTTCAAACAATATATAAGTCATGTAACCCAGAAGCTGCCTTGATAGATGAATATTGATACTTTCCTTTGAATCATTTCTCTCGCTTTTTCTCCACCATCAATTGTTACACCATGTCCAATGCCGAGGCCTGGAAAAGACGTTCCATATACCAAGTGCTCACCGACAGATTTGCCATAGAAGATGAGAATAATTCAGATAGAGGCCCAGATCATGGAATAAGAGAATATTGTGGTGGAACATGGAGGGGAATAATATCTAAACTTGATTATATCCAAGGAATGGGTTTTGATGCAGTTTGGATTTCACCCGTTTGTTTTTGAACCTCTTCAGTGTTCTAATTGCAATTTACTAACGATTCGATACAGATCACTAAGAATATCGAAGAATTGACTGAATATGGAGTTGCCTATCATGGTTATTGGCCAGAGGATATTTATTCAGTAAATCCACATTTTGGAACCGCGGATGATTTAGTCGCCCTATCAGATGCTTTGCACGCCCGGGGTATGTTTTTGATGGTTGATATAGTTGTCAATCATATGGGTTCACCTCCCACAGTGGAATATTCCAGATACGTACCCTTTAATGATTCATCATACTACCATCCACAGTCATTCATCACAAATTACGAAAATCAGCAGCAAAGCGAGGAAGGATGGTTGGGGGATGGACATGTGCCATTACCCGATCTAAATACGGAGGATCCTACCGTGGTACTCACCCTCCAAGCCTGGATCACAAAAATTGTACAAAAGTTTAAAATTGATGGTTTGAGACTTGACACCGTCAAACATGTCAGGAAGAACTTCTGGCCCGATTTTATTCGGGCTGCTGGGGTCTGGTCCGTGGGTGAGGTATTATCAGGTGATCCCGACTATTTAAGCTCATATCAACCTTATGTTGGAGGCCTCCTGGACTATGGGACATATTATCCTTTGAAGAGAGCCTTTCATAGGGATGGCGGAAGTATGTATGAGCTGATCAACCTCCTCACTCCTGCATACCGATCAAAATTCCGCGACACACAGCAAATGTCGACTTTTATGGAGAATCATGATATGCCACGGTTCACCAGCGACACCAACGCGGATTTGGCTGTTGTAAAGAATGCTATGGCATGGACTTTACTTACCGATGGTGTGCCAATTGTTTACTATGGACAAGAACAATCTTATTCAGGAGATGGTGATCCTGGCTCGCGAGAGCTGATGTGGACATCCAATTACAACATCACACCGCTATACCAATACATTGCACGTTTGAACCAGATCAGAAAGCTGGGGTGGGATGCAGGATTTGGTACACATCTAACCACAAAACTTTACATTGAAGACAATGTTGCTGCTACACAAAAGGGCCCCGTGCTTATGGTGCTGACCAACCTAGGTAGCCAGGCCAGATCCAAAAATATCTCCATACCTACCATGTTCCACAACGGGACCATAATAGTCGACATTCTCACGGGAGAATCTTTCAAAGTCAAGCGATCGACGAATATCACCATATTATCTGGAGAACCTCGAATTTTTCTCCCTCTTGGTCTAGCAGAAAACATCTGTGATGAAATTTTACCACCAGCTCAGAATGCCATATCGAAATTATTCTCTAGAATATTTGGTGCCTCCTCTTCTTCCAAAACTGCCGCCGAAATCACAGATTGGCCATATGGTGAACCGGTCAACAGCGCAGATATTATAGTCCGAGAGAAAGATCCGGTTGCGGAACAGGCGGGAGCCAAGATTTTGATGCCGAGCGTTCAGGAGAGTTCATCTCCGTGGTCGATATTCTATGCTGCTAGATAATTAAGCGATAGAGTGTACTTTGTTTTTGAGTTAGGAAGAGTTTTTAGATTAATCATTATAATTAGAAGATACCTTGGATTATTACAATTCATTTTTTTCATGTCTCGATGAATTGGCGGACGTTTTCTTTGGTCTTTTTGCGTGCATAGAACTCATGCTTACAACGTAGGTGGGCAGGAGCTATAAATCCATTCGCATGAAGAGGAGCAATATCTTTGCAGTTTGAGCAAACAATACGGTGGATGATTAACTCCGTGATTGAAACCACCTGCTAATACTTGACTGCTGCTATCATCACCTTCCTTCACTTCTACAAAATTCTGCTTATCGATTGTCAATTCTGAACGAGGAATGTTGTATCAGATACCATGAATAACCGGACTGAGTCAGGGTGCATCAGGATTCTCAACAACAAGGGGAAATGGGTTATTCCTCACGAAGCTTGGAATCCGTGTTGCGGGGGCGGTGGAGGTAATAAGCCGACATACAGAGGAACACATACTGAGTTAGTTTGTGGAATGGAATGAGATTTCAATGCGGTACAGTACTTTTATCTAATCCTGAGCCCTTGTGCAACATGACGTTCAGACATAAAAGAAAGAAAGTGTACACGGTGATTATCCAACACTTGGTTCAAATCAAAATTGCATCCTGAACTTCTTCCAAAAGACAACGAGCGATCAACTTTCAATACGAAAGGAATAATACACCAGGTAAGAGACAAAAAACCCAATAAACGAAATCACAGAAAATAAACTCAGGACCTCGAATTTCGCCGACCTTACTGTAGCCATTTCAGACCACATTGTAAAACCGAAGACAACACTGAAGGCCAACGTTAAATAGACGATAGACACTTGAAGTTATGTCAGCTATTTCAGTATATGTAGCACCTCGAAGATGGTAAACGTACAGCCAGGAGTTAAGCCAAAAATATCCCTTTCAGCCCTTGGAGCCGTCCCGCGGCCCGCTAGCTTTCTGTCCGAAGCAGCTTTTGACGACCCCAATTCCTTGTCCACAAATGCAAACAACAACGTGCCTACCTCAACACCAAATATCGAGCGGAATGTATTGACATCGAAGGTTCTGAGTTCTGATCCCCGAGCATATTTCCATTGGGCGTCCAAGTTCTCGGCTTCATGTTTTGGGACATCGCAATGATTATGAAGTATGTGAGAAATATATTCCCGAACTGTAAGTGCAGTTGCGTCGAGCGGGAGAATTGAAGGAGCAGTGGACACCTTGGAGAAACTTGGGAATTTGAAGGTTTTTGCAGTGATGTGTGTTGAGTTTTGATAAATGCTGCAAGAACCGATGAGCTGGAGAGAAATCGCTCTATTGTAGTAAGTTGTCTGTGGAGAGCCGGAACACGGCAAAGTGTGGATTTGAACGATTGCCTCATTTCGACAGCGGGGACCAACAGTTTGCAAGGACGGATAAGTCAACGTTACTCAGGGCATCTAATAGTTCGAGAAATAATCAACAATAAAGAGTATTAAGTCCTCAAAATAATTACATAATTTAAGATATTGAACTATCTTTATGTTTCTAATTGCTATTAGACATTCAAATCCTTATATCATTGAACTGTAGTCCGAACTACTTGTCGGCTATTTCGATAAATTCTGTCGACCAAACCTGAGCAAGCCTAATATTTTAACAAGGTATCCTTCCTAAATTATAGAGAATACGTATTTGGTTGAGAGATATAACTATAGTGATCCTTAATAGCGGCATGGTCCATTTTGTACCTGTTTGTAGTCGCAAGAGTCTATGAAACATCTAACCTCCCAAAAGTTGCACTTGTATTGTAGGTGGCGGTCCGAATCTTCAAAATTCAATTGGTTAAAATTGATCAGTCAGTCGTGATATTACTGTGTTACTCTCTCACCAGCATATTTGTTTCAAAGTGCCAGAAAGTGTCACTCATATCTGGATACATCGGAAACTTTGAGAAGATTGAACATATGAATTTAATTGAAATCATCTTTCATTTAATGTTCTGGCTCGCTTAGATACCTCATTGATAGGAGTTTCCAAGACATTACGCTCTTTTCCGGAAACAGCCTTGCGCTTCTTTTCACCGATACCCGATGTGCCAAATGCAGTCAATATACGAGCCATGCAAACACTTTTCCGATCATCAAAATTTTCTTCGTTCTGCTGCGTCCGAGATGCGATAAAGGAGCGAGCAGCGCTACCTAGCTTCACAAAATCATTCACCAGCGGCGAACTGAACTCAGCGCCATAGCGAAACGTATTAGCCCATTCAATCAGGTCGAATATCTGTGAGACGGGATGTTTATTGCTCTAGTGATATGACTTGGGAGTCTCGGGAGTGTCGATTGAACCAAGCGGATCGTAAAAGAATATCGCAGAACACCAGAGTCTAGTAACATTAAATCCTTCAGCATTAGATGTACGGATATAATAACCAAGAAGTGATAGCTTTCCAGCTAAACTTTTGTGCTTGTATATATTTGGGTTTTGCGTCATTGCTCCTTTCAACCACTCAATCAACTTTGTCTGAAGCCCATTCAAAATTGCTAAGTCGCATGTGGATGTACATGGCTGACTTAGTTCTCGAGAATTTAATTTAGCGAGAGATTCTTCATCCGAGCACACGTCGAAGTCTGGTGTAATGCATCTCGAGTCCTCTTCAAAATCGTTCAAGTCCAATTCGTTGTCAAACAGCTCTTCAATACTAGACGAGAAGATGCCATGCATTACCGGTGTGGGATTTGGGCTCACTGGAGTTTGAGTCGGTGTCTCTGCAATTACCACTTCGATGGTATCAATTGATAGCGATCCATCGTTGAGCATGACTGGTGGCGACTGAGGAACCTGCACTTCCTTTAATAATGGTGCAGGGGTTTTGGTGTATGGCGGAGGTAATGTGTCCTGTGGGAGCAATGTTTCATATCGATTTGGAGGCCCAAATATGCTCCATTCCACCAACATAGCCCCTTGTTGAACGTACATTTCCTTCACGTTGGTTTTGCGTTTGGCGGTAATTAAATCCGCGTGAAATTTCTTCAAATTCACCTGCGCGTAAGTACTTGGGCCGATGTATACACTGAAGATCTTCGTTTTGGATAGAGATTCAAGTCTTTTGATCAAATCGCTTGAGGTACCATCTTTGGGCGTAATACTCTCAGGAGAATTCTTCCGCTTATTCATAACGACAAAACCGCTCGTAGTCAGATGGAATTCTACACGCATGACAAGTCCTGATTTGCTTATGCCAGCTTGGTGAAGGGCAGAAGCGTTGAGGAAAGATAAATCATCAATGCTTGATGCCAGAAGAGGTGTAAAGGAATCTGTGAAGATGGCGTCCGGAGGAACAATAAACAGCATTTCCATTTGTTTACGCGTACAAGATTGCCTGATAGACACTTTGAGGGAAAAATAGATATGAATATGGCCGTCTGAATCAGAGCTTGCTGTCATAAGAAAATTAAGATTCTGCTTGTTCTGATGCGAGCAAGAGCCTAACGTGAAAGTTTCGTCTGATGATGAATCCTTCCATTTTACAAACACTCTCTCGCGGAGGAGAGGTGGTTCTTGTAGCTGAAGTCCCTTGATTGGAACCAATGTGTCCTACTTCCGTTGTCATAATCAGCAATAGATATAATATAGTAAAGCAATAATTATATTGAAAACCACTAACTTTCGCAACCATGCCGGATTTAAACCAGTCGTAGTTCTTGGAATACAATGGACGTAGGATTGACCGATGAAAGCTGATCTGTGAGTTGTGTTAAAGCTGTTCACAATAGTATATGCTAAAGAACGTAGCCACCACCACTATACAAATAGTTTCGGGGGTTTTCTAAACAACAGGTGCTAAAGAACGTAACCACCACCACCACAGATAGTTTCGGGGTTTTTCTAAACAGCAGGTGCTATAAGACACAATTCTTGTACACAACACATTATAGAAGCAATTTTGTTGGCTCCATCGACAGATGGCGCTTTTATCATGGTATTCGATAGATGGTTTGCGACAGAAATAAAGGGGGGATTGAGATGGCGATGGACAGACAATGATGGACAGATGGCACTGGACAGATGGCGATAGACAAATGGCGACGGATAGATGGCGATGAATAGATGGCGATGGATAAATAACGATGGATGAATAGCACGTTTATTATGATATTCGATAGATAATGTGCGACAAAGATAAAGAGGAGATTGAAATAGCGATAGACAGCCGGTGATGAACAGATAGCGATGGACAGACGGTGATAGACAGATGGCGATGGACAAATGGCGATGGATGGATGGCGATAGACAGATGGTGTGCGACAGAGATAAAGGGAGAATTGAAATGGCGATGGACAGATGATGCTTTTGTTATGGTAACTGATCGATGGTGTATGCGATGGGAACAAAGTGAAGGATGAAAGATGGAGGCTTATGTAATCCTGTATTCATGGTGTGTCATTTTCAAATTTGCAGCCTAATTATAAACCCTTTTCTGATTGGTCATAAGTAGTATGCTGACAGGATAGTGGTTATTCCGATCCGATTCATTTACACCTAAAATATTTATGTTACGGGAGCTGCCTCTAGGATCACGTGGAAGTGTCTAGAGATCTCTCGAGGTGATTTAGATTAGACTTCAAGTAGGAATTCAATAAGGTTGTAATTGTTGTAATTCTTGTAATTATAGTAATGAAATTAATGATTATTTTTAAACATGAAGCTCTATATTCTAATGAAACTCATTTGTTATATAGACCTTCGTCATCTGGAGCCCCTAGGATCCGTATGCTCCTGGAGCCCGTAGCTCCCCAAGGCTCCCTCATGTGACACGCGAATGTGTCATGTGATGTCTGTCGTAACAATTTAGGAATATCTTATTCTTAGTTTAATCATCGCTTTCTAACGAATAAAGTGATTTTTATAGTAAACTATTATAAAGATCTATATATAATATATCTTTATAAATAGTACATATTGATTTATTAAAAAATACTTCTAAGTAAAACATAAATAAAATAGATATATTAAAATCTTACTAAAAAATTTATACATTTTATTTATTCTATATTTTTAATAATAACTTATTTATTATTCTTTAAAAATACAAAATAGGTTTGTACTAACCTACAGACTTTATATAGATATTTATAGTAGATTATAGTCTGAGTCTCTAAAGGGATGAGGAAACCTCTGAATGGGAATATCTCGAGTATCTTTAATTCAATTTTCAATTCAGTATACAATCTTCAATGAATTAATAATCCAATCGGAAAATAATTGATTAAATTAAAGCAATTGAGGGCTTTTAGGATCTTGGGACTGAACCCTTCTAATTTGTAGAGACGTGAACTTTCAATAAGACGCTTCAGAAAACTTCAATGGTCCAATGGAACTGTGCACAAACATCTTCAATTTAGAAACTGAATCCAGGATCAAGAGTCTTATTGCCAGGCTACCTGACGGCTAGCTATTTGAATCGCTGCTTTCGGGATCTCCATCCTCATCATACTCCGCAGTAGTTTTGATCTTGATACTCAACCTCTTAGCTACTCTCTGCCACGGCTCGATCGATTCCTCCGCGCTATCCCAATATATCGTCTTATATTCTTCTGACTCGCACACTGGAGGCTCAAGTACGAGTTCCCCCAGCTGCGTAGTTCCAATCTAAGCACTAGTAACAAGAGATCCTACGGGGGAAGTAGTTCCAAGACGTTGGTGCAGAACTACTCCGACTCACAAGATTGAAGAGATGCAGGAACATGTTCATCTTTACAGCTAATCAAGCACTAGTAGTCTTGGGTAGGGATGGTGTAAGATTCAATATATTCCCAACGACGTGAAGTTCAGGCAGAATGCGGTCTTGATCTCGAAACAACGCGTGGCCGATAGCTTCATACCTTAGAATAGGATCTATTCCGTAAGAGGCAGCTAGATGCACACCATCTCGAGACAAGCCTGTAAATCTTGGTTAATATCAGAGTGTTCAATACTTCGAATTGCAATCCAATAATAAAGATTAATAAATCTCCAAATCAATTAGAATACCCAAATCATTTGAGAAATCATATATAATTAGGACATTGAACTATTTTCAGATTTCTATTTGCTTTCAGATATTCAAACCCTTGTATTGTTGGATTGTAGTTTGGACTATTGGATATCCTAGGTAATACAGATACCAATTCCGAGAAAGTATCGAAGATTGCTAGAGGGTTCACTGAATGGTATCAATATAATAAGTAGCAAAATCAGTTGCCGGTACTGCGCATGACGGGAAAGGCCAAAACGTATGAGCCAGACTTTACCGATACGAGCCCAAGGGAAAACATCTCACGCTGTGTATCTGTGTTAATGAACTCATATTTCAGAATTTCATTAACGGACGGGAGATACAAGCATACAATCTTATAGATGTGCAAATCAACTTCGGGTGGTGCTGTACTCCTCAAAGAGTTTTCTTACAGCGGGTGTAAGCCTATCGCCAAACGATGGCTAGTATCGGGGAAGTGCTTTCACTCAGACAGATGATTTCGAGATCCAGCAACTCTGAGAAGTTCTTTGGTATGGTCAAGATCGAATGTATCGAGCTGCACTTTAGGGTGTCGTACGGTACGTCGTTTAAACAAGCAGGACCCTCTGTATAAATGATTGAAAAATTAGAAACACCTATGTATCTCTGCTGTGTCGTAGATTCGACATCTGAATGAGAGTGAAAGATTCGCCGCCATCCTTCACAACAGCTTGTACATCATTTTTTGCGCCACAGAAATGCATGAGAAGACTTTGTTGAATTTCTTGGCTTTTGAAGCTTTGAGTCAGTCGTCAACGGACGGCAAGCCATCATCTCTCGAAAGCGAATCACCACTCGCATGCTGTAATTTTGGGCATTGATCCGACACTCACCATTCGCTTCATAGTTCTATTCGCTCTTAATAGCCCACACCGTGGAGCTCTCGAGTTGTCTTCTCACCAATGAATACTTCTTCAGTGCGAATCCTACCCATCGAGTTCGGCCGCTCGAGCCCTTGAGTGCCACATGAGAATTGGCGGAGGGCCAAGCCCATCATTTGAGTACCCTACTTTCCTGCCTCATTTTGGTACAAGACAGATATTTCTAATTAGTTTGAGCTACAAAGTATACATGGACCGAAGTATTGAAGACTTCGAGCCCGGATGACTCATTCTCCGATTTCCGTCTCGACGAGTCGCAGCATGTAAATATTACCTTTGCGCATAATATAAATCTATTTAGTTCGCTAGGTGAATTAGAGTTTTGCCAATACATTGAATTGACACATCCAATTTATTTACAAACAAGATTGGTTGTTACATTGGGAAAGAACCGTTTCGCCCTTGAAGTTTTAAATCATGTCAACATCGTCCCTTGCGGCCACAATGAAGTCTCCCAAGGCCAATTCTCTGTTATTACTCTTGCAGATGTCTGATATAGAGTTGAACAATCAAATAAAGGACAATGGTAAATGGAAGAAGCGGTCGGAAGAGACCACTCTCGATGTAAATTTCCCGGAGTTAGACAACGCGTCCTTGGAAACCATCAACCTCGTACTTATTGGATCCAGCATGCTCGAACGGTTCAGAACAACTGGCCACGACCTCAATTTAGGTTCAAAGCCAGGAATTTTCAACGCCGGGGTAGGAGGCGATACAATCCCCAACTTCCTTTACCGCATCAATCTAGACCTCCTCTGGAAAGCCAAGACCCAAGAGAAAGTGGGAATGGTTATTGTCATATCGTTTCCAATGATTTGAAAAAAACCCGGTCGAAGCTTGATCGAAGCTCAACTTTACCAATTCGCTCTTCACTTGGAGGCATTGAGAAGAACATTCCCCCGAGCACGAATCGTGGTCACGGCACTATTTTACAAGAGAGATATCCACGTATCGGATGTTGATAGAAGTAACGAGGATCTACAAAACATAATCTCTGGATTGCCTCGCGTGGAGTGGCTAGCAGCACCGGAAGTCAATCTTGTCAACCATTTTGAGGATCACGTCCACTTGAACAGAGCTGGTTATAAGATATGGGATAAATGGCTGGTGGAAAAACTTGACATTTAGCAACGGTGATGGATAGATAGTATTCGAGGAGAAGCCTTTCAACCCGAGGTCTTGGACAAATGGCCACTATACGACATCTACCGCTAACATATCGGCAACCACTGTAACTTGCAGCAGATCGCCAACCTTTTTGAGTCAGTACCTTGAACGGGAGCTCAATAGAGACTTCCAAAAGATGTCAGTATGCCAAGAGGAATTATTCTCGAATTTACAATCTGAGGGGGTTCTGCTTACATACCACATGACATGATCCACCTTCCACCTTCCACTTCCCGTCTTCCATCTTCCATCATCCGCCTACAGATGACTGCGCTTCTAGAATAGGTTTAGACATGAGGTGTAGCTTTGAAATTTCGACGTTTGCGGTTGATGGAAAGGAGATTGTGGGGGTTTCAATCCATATTGGGTTATTTCCTAAGCGGTTGTGGCCAAGGCGGCGCTTGAAGTGGCCATGCTCCGTCATAATTTCCGATTCTTGTTACGCTTGTTTCATTTATGAGGAACCCCTGAATTAACGAATCGCGATTGGCTAACAACGCGCACAAAGGGGCAATGGAAACGACAAAACCTTAAAAAAAATCAATCTATCTGAGAATATGAGATGAAATTACAACGCTTGGCTTTTCTTGGTACTTGAAAGCGTCATTTCTCCATCTTTTCTTTTGGGTCTCAGATGAAGTCAGTAGATTTCCGAAAATACAGACGAAAGTGTATCGTTCGAACGTTAAAGCAATTGGAGATATAAACTTCTTGACAAAGTGCTTAGTGTCACTTGTCCCGCAAAGTATGCGCATTTAGGTTACAGTCAAGTCATTGAACTCTGCAAGTGCCGATTCGATCGATCATCTCGTTCGTCCGTTTGCTCGCCAAGAATTTGCATACAATGAAGTTACGGGTGCTAGTATAGGCGTCTTGGCTATTGTGCGAGTGTCCACGATACCAAGAATTATCCCCAAAATTCGAGAGTGAGATGCAGGGACTATGCTCTTGGCCCTTTGCAATTGCAGTGAACAATCTCAAAATTCACCATTTGCATTGGTGCCTACTCCATTTTTCAAAGCGTTTATTCCACGTAGCCACCTTGTTTGTCGTCTTGGCTATCATTCTACTTTTCTATTCTTCGTTTACCCGTGGATCTACCATCATCAAAATGCTTGGATTTGTTTATCGAAAACTGTTAGGTGAGAAAAAAGGAGAACTTCTAGATCCTCCTTTGCGTTGGGTTAATTTCATGGGATAATTAATCAGATGAACTTGGCAATACAAACAAATAACTTCAGCAGCAACCATTCTACTATAAAGATGAAGATGGATCCCACGATCTAACATCATCACTTCCATCGTTCACTTCCACATTCATTACATTCACTAAACACATTACATTCTTTTAACGGACCAGTTCCATTTTTCACTCTTTCAACATGAAGTTCTCAACTGTTTCTGCTGGTCTTTTGGCCGCATTCGCCGCTGCTGCTCCAACCCCAACCTCTGACGAGATCGTCAACCGCGCTGCCATCGCCAAGCGCGCCACTGTTACCGACGCCTGCGACATTGGTTACGCCAGTACCAACGGTGGTACCAAGGGAGGAGCTGGAGGAGCCACCACCACTGTTTCCACCTATGCTCAATTCACCAAGGCTGCCACTGCTGGTAACACTGTCGTTGTCGTTTCCGCTCCCATCACCCAGGCTGCCAAACAAGTCAAGGTTGCCAGTGACACCACCATCATCGGTAAAGACTCCAAGGTCGTTTTCACTGGTTTCGGATTGTATGAGCTCCCCTCCCTCTACTGTCACTTGCAATTATCTAATCTTATCTTACCAGACTCGTCAAGGAACAATCCAACGTTATCATCCGTAACATCGCCATCAAGGAGGTTCTTGCCGCCAACGGTGATGCTCTCGGAATTCGTAAGTTCTCTAATTTTGTTTATTTAACTACTTCAATACAGCAGACTGACCTCCCCTCTAGAAAAATCTACCAACGTCTGGGTTGACCACGTTGATCTCTCCTCCAACAGAGACCACGACAAAGACTACTATGATGGACTCTTCGACGTGACCCACGCTTCTGACTACGTCACTCTCTCCAACTCCTTCATCCACGACCACTGGAAGGCATCCCTCGTCGGCCACTCCGACTCCAACTCCGCCGAAGATAAGGGACATCTCCGCGTCACCTATGCCAACAACTACTGGAAGAACGTTAACTCCCGTGGCCCTTCTATCCGTTTCGGTACTGCTCACATCTACAACTCTTACCATGACACTGTTGCCGACGGAATCAACACCCGTCTTGGTGCTCAAGTTCTTGTCGAATCTAACGCCTGGACTGGATCCAAGAAGCCTTTGTACTCTACCGATGCTGGTTACGCTGTTGCCAGCGACAACGACTTTGGATCTGGAGCCAACGAAGCTGAGAAGGGTACCATGTCTGCCAGCACATTGGGATACAAATACACTCTTTTGGGTAGTAGCAAGGTTAAGTCCGCTGTTGTTGGAACTGCAGGTGCTACTTTGTCTTTCTAGATTGAGAGTCAGCAGTGTTCTTGATTCTACTTGGATGATATGAGCACTTTGAGGAATGGGGCAGAGATAGTACAGGGTACTTTAGATTCTTGGTGTATATAAATTTTTTGGTCAGAGACCGTATATATATATACGTATATATAGATGTGAATAGACAGCTCTAGTAGCTAGTAAATGGAAGATTTTCACTTATCTACTTTCCCGTGGCAACTTTCGTGATCCGCTTTTAACTTTCGATTTTAGAATATTGCTTTATGTCTCAGGTCTTGAATTGGACACAGCAAACATACCTCCTGCTCAATGAGAAGGGATGCGAATTAGACAAATGGGATTGGGCCGTTCCCAGGCGTTTTATCATCTCGTTATTTCAGATGGACATATCGTGGGAGAGTGTCAGAACCGAGGAGTAATGAAGCGAGGATAATTTTAGCGCGTGGCATTCAGCCGCATGAGGGACGGTAAGGTTCGCGAGCTGTATGTGGTTAGATGACGAGAATATATTGTACAATTTGCGATAGAGGCAGCAAACGACCCATTGAAGCAGTCTGAGATGAAAGAGAACATATTTCATCTAGCCAACAATATTGGAGAAAAAATACAGAATGTGTTGTCCATAATTAGCGGTTTCAGTAAAATTGGTACCTATCGCACAAAAATAATGCTAACAGTTACTTGTGAGTCCACTCGGCCTTCTTTTTCTCCGCAAAAGCCTTCATTCCAATCTTCTGATCTTCACTTCCAAATAAGCTGTGGAAAACTCTTCTCTCATACTCTACACCGTCTCTGAGTGGTAAGTCCTGACTCTTGTTGACGACTTCCTTCGCGGCTTGTACTGCAACCTTACTGTATCCTGCAATTGTCTCAGCAGTGCCTAGCGCAGCTTCAATGAGCTCTCCCCAGCTTTCATAAGTCCTTACCGCAACTCCCCATTCTCCCGCTTCTTTGCCACTAAAGTTCTTGCCGGTCAAAATAAGCTCCATAGCTCTAGCTTTTCCAATCGCCCTTGTAAGTCTTTGACTTCCACCAGCTCCAGGAATCGTCCCAAGTTTAATTTCTGGTTGCCCAAAATTTGCTTTCACTGTGCAGTACAATATATCGCACATTAGAGCCAATTCGAAGCCTCCTCCTAGCGCATGCCCTGATACGGCTGCAATAATAGGCTTCTTGATGGCGGTTGTGAGGTCTGACCAAGATTCTATGAATGAAGTTGTGTAGGCTTCAGAGAAGGTAAGCGGTGCCATTTCCTTGATGTCCGCACCGGCTGCAAAGGCTCTTTCAGATCCAGTGAGCACAATAGCAGATATGGAGGGAGATTTATCGAATGCTCTAAGTGCATCGTTGAGTTCGTTTATAAGTGGTGTAGACAAGGCATTAAGTGCTTTGGGTCGATTTAGTGTTACTTTGATAAATGTTAGTAATAATTTTGTTAGAATAGGGTAGGGTAGAACAAAGTACTTTGACCTACGCCGGGTCTTGGTTCTGAAGTTTGTATGAATTCGTAGGATTTGGCTGAGTAGGCTCGTGAAAGTGCGGGGAGAGTTGGAGCTGTGAATCGCGAGGCAAGGGGCCTCAATGCTCTAATTGAATACATGACTTGTTGAGATGTAGAATATCGTGAAATTAGACTTTGATCCCGATTGTATGAAGGCGTTAGTTTAGATCATTGAATAGAGATCCAAGAGTTTCAATGTTATGAATATCAAGAGCAGCTTGCGTACATTTCTCTGGAACTCATTTCTGGCAATTCGGGTACAACCGATTATCCTCGGGAACTCAGAGCTTAGGTAACCCCAAGCCCCCCAAACAGGAGCCACATGCATGGATCGTCCCGCATAATCGAGAATCACGTGAAAATAGCAACCTGCGCGCCACAATCTAAGCCACGACGCTTTTCACGGGGCGATCCATACAAATCTATTAAAACAGGTGGTCTCGAATTTCAGAAAGTTTCAACTTCAACTACTTTCCGCGCCTACCACCAAACGTCACTCCTTCCAACTCCAACTCTTCCGACGAGATTTATTACACCTGCACAAATTCTATACCATTTCCACACAAGAACACGCAATTCAGTATGGATTCGATAGAACCAGAACAAACCCCTTTCGCGGCTGTGAGCGCGCAGACTTCAAAGATAGGACGTGTAAGTTTGTTCATAGATGCGATTTGTTCAATCGCATCATTTGGAAAGGATGTATAGACTGATTCGAAATAAATAGCAATACCAAGCCTGGCTAGATAAATCAACACCATATGTTCCTTACAGATGGTTGGCTACATTCGGGCTTCTTATGATATTCTTCGTTCGCATATTCGTCGCACAAGGATGGTATATTGGTATGTTGCATCTTGGTTGCTTTGCGCGTTCCCAACTTATATTTTTCAATAGTGGCATACTCTCTTGGAATCTACCTTCTTAACCTCTTTCTCGCATTCCTTCAACCAAAGTTCGACCCCTCCAATGAAGCTATCGATAATGATATGGAAGATGGAGCTGCTGGTGGATTACCAACCAAACAAGACGAAGAGTTCCGCCCATTCATCAGAAGACTTCCTGAGTTTAAGTTCTGGCATTCAGCGACAAGAGCAATTGGAATTGGTTTCGCTTGTACTTGGTTTGAGATTTTCGATGTACCAGTGTTCTGGCCAGTGTTGGTTGTTTATTGGTTAATTCTGTTCACGTTGACCAGTAAGTAATTCCTTGATAGATGAATGACTTGAGACAGAGTAGTGTTTCAACATACTGACCTTTTCCACAGTGCGCAGACAAATTCAACATATGATTAAATACCGATATGTGCCATTCTCGTTCGGCAAGACTAAGTATGCCAAAAACAGCTCGTAAACTCAATCGAGTTCAGGATGCAATAAATAAATGACCTGCTTGGGTGACGACAGACCTGGAGAAACGATAGCAATGCTATATTGTGTACAAACAGTTGTACTTCATATATATTCATGAGAGGATTTGGAAGCAGAAGGCGGAACCCTTATTGATTTTAATTACAACTTTCTCATTTCCAGTATACTTAGGGATTTTCTAGGACATTCAAGGGTCTATTTTAGCTGAAAAGCTATCGGGAAATAGATGATACGAGCTAGTCAGAGTCAAGAGAAGAGCAGCATCATCACAAAATCGCACCTCTCAAGCTTTTTGAAACATTAGCAAGCTCCCAAAAGATGCTTTCGAATACCCCAAATCCCTTTTGGACATTCTTCTAGAATTTCAAGGTCGCGCAATCAAATTATATACTCAGCTTGTCTCCTTTGATAAGCTTACTCTCATTCATTTCTGGTATATCGTAAACCTATCTTTCCAAACACTCTTCGCCTAGACTGCATCTTTCTATGTAAATCCTTCCCTCAAAACATCTTAGCTGGGCTCTACTGTGCATATATGTGATACAATCAACTTCCTTTTCCATTAGGTACGGACCAATGATCTGAGATAACAAGACCAGACATGACCCGTAGTGAGAAAGTGAAATTTAATTGGACAAAAACTTCAGCCACAGCTTAGTGCCATACAATCCAGCCTTGTCACTAGCGCTATTCTCCCAGTGTCTGTCCATCCATTCTGACGCGACATTCCCAAAATTATTGACCTACAATAATACATTCAAGCATATCCACAAAACAATCATCGAGCAACAAGATGGCGTCCTCAGCGTCTCGAATTGTTCATCAAGAATATATTGCTCGCATACGATATTCCAATGCCTTACCACCACCTCCAAATCCTCCCAAGCTCCTCGACATCCCAAATACTGGCCTTGCCAGTGGTCAATATACTACACCTGGATTTGCTACAAGATTAGCGCGAGATCAACCATTGAATATCGAAGCCGATGCGGAACTTGGTATGCCATTAGACTTGGTGGGAATGCCAGGCATATTTGACGGAGACGAGAGCTGTAAGTTCGCATATTTCTTTGCAACTTGCGCAATCGCTCACTTTTAATTTCCATAGCCATACAAGCACCATTAAATCCTCCACAACTTCATCCTCATGATCGTGCTCTCCTCAGACCATTGGCGACATTGGGCAAGCCCAAATTCTCTGATACGGGAGTCTCATTTTTGCGGCGGACTGAATATATCTCTTCTGGCTTCACCTCGAAAGCGCGCATGGAAGGCACCACCTCAGCGAAAGGACTTGTTGATACACGAAAACCAAAACCTGTCCAAAACGTACCGGCTGATCGCGAATCTCCTGCATATATCAAGGCACAGGTTGAGAAGGGTTTCGAAATCGCGGCTACCAATCTCAAGGATCGCACCCGAGTCCGCCATCCTACTAAGCGGAATGTTCAACTGGTCGATGCAGTTCCTCTTATACCAGACCTCGATGCTTTCCCAGATGCGGGTGGATATGTCCTGTTGAAGTTCCTCACCAACCCCGTTCCTCCAAGCTCTACTTACGACGCTCGGGTTGAGAGCAGTGTTTTAAGACCCGCTGATCCCACCGAGGCAGAAATCGAAATGAAGGAAGCTGCTAGACAAGCTTATGAATTAGATCCCCACAATAATCCACCTCCAGACGAAAAGATACAATACGAAATGTTCATGCCAGATACGGTTACTGATGCCAAGAATATCAAACGGAAATTCGACGTCCTGGATCCTGAACACGATGATAGGGACCTGTATTCACAATTTGATGAGGAAACGGGTAAAGGAGCGTTCAGACTGAAGAGACTCCGTGGCTATGAAACAGTTCAAACGAGCGGTGGGACAGATGACAAATACGATGAATATGTGGTGATAGCTATGCACGATGGAACCGATGGGTTACACCAAAAAGCCGCACATTACTATCCTGTCGTTCAACGAAGTTCCATCAGACCACAGAGAACCAAGAATATTCAAAAGATGAGACACAACATTAGTGGCGAAGAAGAGGAAGTTTTGGATATGGTGGATCTGAGTATTGTTGACCCGAGCGCGGAGACGAAGCAGGTGATGGAAGGGTTTAAGACTTGGCCGTATGGAGAGAACCATGAGGATGAAGCAGAGAGAGAGGCAGCGGAAGTTGAGGAGGCGCTCTCCGAAGCAGATGCCGAAGGCGAGGACGATGATGTGAATTCGCCTGTAAGACCTAGTTTGGGTGGAAAGACAATTGCGTCGAGGGTGCAGAGTGATGAGGATGATGATGATGACAATGAGAGTTTACATTCTGAGGATTAGGAAATGTTGATCTGAAAGAGGGCCGGGATGGGAACAAGACTGTGGGAAGGTGAATAGAGAGATGAAGCAAAGAAAAGAGCGAGAGATAATGGAAAATGCATATGTGTGCATATTAAACGAATATCTTTCGAGCAATAAGTAATTAATTACACAGGTCTACTTTGAATTCGCATAGCAAGGAGCGGCTTTCTTTGAAGATGATTGTAGTTATACAGCAGGGGAGAAAGATATGGATAAGATGATACCTACACACGTCTTAAATAAGATATCGTGAACAATCTGATCTGATGAGAACATGAAAATGAGCCTCGGAAGGAGAGCCAAAGTAACCACTATAAAACGATGTATATATGTAAGTATGATATTCATGATATGTGATTAACTAACTCTATGCACCTATCCTATCCTATCCCAACCTGCCCTATCCCATAAAACCAGCCTATTCCCAACTGAACCCCAATAAACCAAGGAAAAGAAAACGCCTCTGCTAATATGATGCTATGCTCGCGTATCGGTGTGTATGTATGCGTGTATGTTATGCTTCTAAATCCAAATGACTACAACGAGATATCTCGTTGCTAAATTACATTCTTATCTATACCTCCGCCGAGCGACTCTATTCCTATCTCATTCAACTGGTGAGAAAGAAAGAAAAAGGTAAAGGAACCGTGAATGTTCGTATTTTGAGGTCAAGAAGTTTGAGTGCAGACTTGTGTTTTCCAGTAATTCATCTCGTTTCCAATGATTAGTCTTATCTTATTACTCCATCTACAATTCCACATTCGAATCTGTACACTTAAACCACCAATTCCTCTTCAAACATGTTTCGTTGTGTTTTGGTGTCGCGCTAGGCGTTGGTTTTGCATCAGGTGACGGATCAACGCAGACGAAACCAAACCAATTTTTAGAGGTGCATGTTTCGGTTTTAGTCGATAGAGTCGAGGTTGTGGACGAGGGGAGAGGTGGTGCGGAGGTTATCGAATGGGATGAATCTTTTGTGCTCGAGACAGAGACGGATGTGGAAGTCGAGGTGGGATCTTTGCAACCAAACCAGCCAGGATGCTCACAAGTTGTTGTTGCTGTTGTACTCGTACTGGAAGAGGTGGAAGTGGGTGTGTGTAGCACTGAAGTGCTGCTGCTTTTAGTGGTGGTTTTCTCATCCTTACAGCCAAACCAGCCAGGGGTTTTGCAAGTTGAGGTTGATGTTGATGTGGTGGTGACCGGTACGCTAGTCGTAGGCTTGGACGTTGTAGATGCATCTTCATCTAAGCAGCCCCACCAGCCAGGTGTTTTACACGTAGAAGTACGACTCCGAGTATTTGTGGTCGACGTCGACGTTGATGGCGCTGACGTGGCAGTGCTACTGCTGTTGCCTTCTACCTCTTTCCAAAGTGGGCAGTCTACACATTCCGGTGTAAATTTGCAAACTGGTACCGTATCGTAGACTTTGATGATTTGTTCAATTACAGTTATGATCTTGTGCGACCAGATATGTACTCCCCACCCGTGATCGGCCACAACGTCATAAACACACTCCATACCGCTATGGCATGAGCTTTCTAGCGCATATCCAGCGTATGAACAAGAAGCGGTAGCTCCATTGCACGTTCCCAAATAGATCGGGTCGGCAGTATGTCCAAAATGATAAGCTCCAGTAAACTCACGCTTTTGTGGTGTACTTGGATTGTGACCTGGTGGCGCTGGTAGTCCTAAACGACTTACAGGCAGAGCATCCGGAACTGCCTCAAATGTGACAACAGGAATACCATATGTCAACCCTAACATAGAACTAACCGATCCACCAAGAGAGTGGCCTGACATCCACACGTTTGCGTTAGGATAAAGAGCTGTGACATTGGAGTAGAGGTGTCGAGCCGCGGTGTAGTATCGATTTTCCGACCTTAGGCTTCTCTTCAGGCACGATAGATTGCAAGTGTATGTTCCAGTAGCACAATCGCAGACTTGTCGGTAAAAAGAAGCACCTTGTTGACCACAACAACAACTGAAAAACAGATTGTCGTTCTCCTTATCATTTGTAGTTGTCCCATCCCCATCGTACACCGCAAGACTCGTTCCTTTTAATCCTATGACAATTGTAGAGTTCGACTCATCCATGTAGATATAACCTCGTAGACCATCGGCATCCCAACCAAATCCATAATCATCGGTTCGATTGAAACCCCCATTAACGTCTTTCCAGTCCCCTGTTTCTGGTTTATCCACATAGGCGTTCGCTGCCATTTGTGCCAGTGTTATGATTGTATCCTTATCTGTAATATCCGGTCCAGCAATTTCGTCAACAGTCCAAGCCGACGGTGACAATGCCCATACATCTCCGCTCTCTCTTGATGCCGCCACCATTGGATCAACCACTGAAGGTCTCCTGTCTTTTAATCGTTCTATCTTCACCGGGCTCTTCTTCATAATCAATGGCCTTGTTACCTCTTGTAACGGCCCCTTTCCATCTTCGGATTCCAACCATACTGTTGACTTGGACGTGGTATCTAGAATATCGAGTTGTTTATGTAGTTGAGGGTGTTCGTACGTTCCATGATGGAAGACGTGGCGAAGTGACTATTGTTTACTGTTAGCATTATTTAAAACGTAGCGGTGAAAAGGATATATCTACAAATACATGGTTCCCAGCTAAATCCTGTC